TATATATATATATATATATATATATATATATATATATATATATATATATATATATATATATAAGAATAAACATGTTTAAATAAAAATGTTTACTGTTTATATTTTAAAGATAGTTTTACCTGTTTCTGTTTTATTTCAATGACACCTTATTTTAGGGTAAGCATCTTGAAGAAAATAACTGATCAATCAACTCTTGTCTTTTTATTATATTTCTGCAAAAAAAAAAACATTATGTATTTTACCTTTTTATTTATTAATTAGTCTTATTGTTCCTTTCTGAGCAACAATAAAGCTACTGGTTAGCAATGATTAAAAAGTTTTAAATAATGCTGAACAGGAAAATCTATAAATGTGTAGAAGCAAACGAAAGACGTCCTCTTAAGCTGTAATTCAGCTTTGATGGAGTTTACAGTAGAGACATCAATCAAGGTTTAAACCAGTCACAGAACGTTGGACTTTACCTTGCTGAACTGCCAGTTTTGCCCCCATTACCTCCTTTACACAGTCACAGATTAAATGTTCATGTATTTTAAGGTTTCACCATGGAAAATTCCACTTATATTGTGTGATAATGTCACAAAATCTTGTTGCAAGACTCTCTTGATCATACAGTTTAAAAGCATAAACTGCTGTCGCTGCATAAAAATCAACCGGAGGTGTTCCTGATAGGATGCATAGTTTACGTGCAAACATGTTGCTTGTGCAAAAACTAAAGTGAAACTGAAGTCAGTGTTGCGGTTTATGCCATAATAATCACAGCAACACCTAACTCAGCCTTTTCTGTCTTTGGCTCTTAGATTACTGTGGAGATTATGTTTAAAAGTTTCTTATTTTTAAACAGTAAAGGAAAGTTTCATTAGAGCAGAATTATATTTAAAACTTCTAAGATGAAATGGTAAATAGTACTAAATCTGGCAAAAGGAAACCATGTTAAAGAAAACATTTTATGAAATATGATGGAGGATTAATACCATATATAGACTTACCTGGTCCCTCTCAGGTTTGTCAGAGATGTCATTCATGCTGCTGGATGCCAGGTTCTTGTGGGGCGTAGTTGGACTATCTGTTAGGATGTAGAGGTGGAGTAGATAGTTTAAACATAATTGTTTGTTTTCATTTAGAGGGGAAACTAATGATGAAGGAGGAGACCCAGGAAAAAGACGGTGGCCCAGAGAGTTCCCTCCACATGCATCACCAGAACCTCTACCACCCAGCTGCATTATCATGCAAGCTCAAAGATAGAAATAAAGAAATGTAGATCCAGAGGATCCTATAGGTTAAAGATTATATCAACATCATCTGTTCCTGTTGCAGTCTTCATTATCTATTAGAATCTGTGATCTATGGTTTTCAGTCTACCTTTACCTTCTGGCAATAAGTCTGGAACTCTAAAATACCAATACTTTCCAAACCCCCTTTTATGATAACATCATTTGGCCAATTAGTATTTCCAACCATGACAGGAAATACAGTTCATCTACTTCTACCTCAGGTTTGGTTTCAAGTAGGAAGTACCCACACAGCATCCCAATCAGACTTCCTAACAACCCTATGTGATTCCTTCTGCTGTGGAGGTGAAGCAGTCTTTCTCCATGTCCTTCACCATGTCCCAGCATCCCCCTAGTCATGCATCTGTAATATTCAGACCTCAGACTGACCTGTTAATCAAGACCCTTGCTTTTTTGCTAAGTTATTCTTTCTACGGCAGACCGAACAGTTTTTACATAACTTTAGACAGGGCCCCACCCTGTCCATCCATTTTCTCCTCCAACTTACAATTACCTGTGAAAAAGAGAACAAAAACTTTTTCACTTCCAACAGAAAATAAACCCTGATCTGGAAGGAGCCCTCCACAACTGTGGATAAAATCAACTGAAAGGAATCATATTCAGACTTTAAACTACTCCAGTTTTTATTTTTCTGAAGGTCAGATTTAAAGCTGCTAAAGATTACCATCTAATTTAAGATAATACAAATTAAAATCCTGTTCATGCCAAAGGACAGCTGAGGCGGAGCACCATTGGGAACACCTCAACCTTGTAGAAATAAGACAGAGAATGGATCTGAAAGTCTTCACTAGCACACCATACTACTATTTGTCAAAATATAGAAACCAAACTCCATAATACCCAATGTAATTCAGCAATAACCTTCATTCCAAACCTTCAGATCTTAAATAACTTTTTCTATTTGCCTTGCTGTCAAACTAATACCAAAAAAACATCAACCTTGTTATTGAATTTTAAATCCAAACATCCTTTGCACGTCATTCTCATGGTTTATTAAACTTCAGGCATTCATGCTTGTGCAGCAGCTGTAGAGCATCCACTCAGGTTCACAGCTAAGAATATCCGGTGGTCTTCGTGTCCTACTTTCACATCAAGCTGGTTCACTAAGTGTTTCCTTCAGGACTTTGACTGACGCTCTGCTGACTTTCTGATTCAGCTCGACAGCTCTTCAAACATCTGACAGCATGATGTGACCTCACATTAGACTGGAAACTTCAGCCGGTAGAATAAGTGGAGCCACCTATGCTTTTTCATAAATCTGCCCCCTCAGCATTGTGGGTAGGACCAGGCCTGTCAGTATGATGCAGTCAGTTTGTATAAATCTGATTTTAATTTTTTTTTTTTCAGAATGAATTCATGGAATTCATGAAAATGGTTTTTAAACAAGACAAATTGACTATAAGGACTGAAATACTTAATTTATCTGTAGAGTGAGGTTTTTATTTTTCAAATGAAGTTGTGTGAAGTTCTTCTGAACAGTTAGTAAAAAAGCTGGGTGTTAGTCAGAGCATGAAGCATTCAAGGGTCCATCAATGGCTTCAGCAAGCCCCAAATATATTTTAACCCAGCATACCCAGGGTTGTGCCAGTTCGCACTAAACAAGAAATAATTAATAAATGCACTCCAGCAAGGCTGAAATGAATTAGTTTATAGTCATAGCCTACCATTATGTACAAAGCTAACAGCTACAAGATAAACATTTTTTTTTTATCCTATTATGTATAAACACACATAGCTAATGATGTCATCTACAAATTAGCATCAAAACTATGCGCTGTCCCTCGACAAAACTAGTGCAACATTTTGACTGATGGTTGTCAATAGACAATTAAAACCATCTATTAATTTGGCACAGATACAGTTCAACATGAGTTTTTTTATTTGAATTCATATTGCAAAGGGAAAAACACAGTCATTTGAGCAGAGAATGAGAAACAGAAAGATTATTGATCTTAATGGCAATTAATAAATGTAATTTTTTTCAAAAATGTCTTTCTTTGTCAATAGGTGGCGTGTCCACCATTGTTTAGATTTATCATCTAGGATAAGGAGCATTCAAATGACTGTGTAAACACTATGCACACTATAAAAGCTTGATACTTAAAATGTAATACCCTACCACATATTGCAGTCAAGCAGCACTATGCTATTTTTTTGCACAGTGATATTAAAATATTCCTTTTTTTGTATTTCCTCCATCCATCCATTTTCCGTCACGCTTATCCCTGCTGGGGTCACAAGGGGTGAAGAGCTGTCAATGGGCTAGAGGTGGCGTACACCCTGGACAGGTCGCCAGTCTATCTCAGGGCAACATAGAGACCAACAGGACAAACAACCATTCATGCACATACTCACACCTAAGGTGAATTTAGAGAAGCTAATTAACCTAACAGTTATTTTTTTGGACTGTGGGAGGAAGCCAGAGTACCCGGAGAGAACCCACGCATGAGGTCTTGCAGAAAGACCTCGGGCCGGGTCTGTAAGGCAGCACTGCTAACCACTGTGCAGCCCTTTTTGTATTTCATTCTTGAGTAATTAGAATAACTTCTTTATGTAGCGAATTCTTATTTTTTGTTTTTATATTTCTTACTGTTGATTACTGAAAATTAAATTTCTCATTTCTATTCTTTAAGCAGTTTTTAACTGACATAATTTTCTTAATACCTTAAGTTAAGTTTAACTGTGAATGATGGTTGTTGTCAGCCCTGTAGGACCAAGGCCTGCTGTGTAAGGTGCTTCTAATGAAACATGGCAACCCTGGCTATAACTGTTCACTTGACTCCACATGATATTTATTCAGAAGGATCTCTATGAGTGCTATCTGACTGCAGCGAAGACACTTATTGCTCATAACTCCTCTGCACAACCCCAGTTCAAACAAAATATGGAAATTTTTATGGCTCGTTTAGGAGTCCAAGGAAACTTTCTCTAATGGCACCTTGATACCAAGTGTTCAGTGTGTCATAACTGGGTCTGGGGAACTTACTAAGCCAGTCCATACTGGTACTCCTTTGGTTCTGCAAGTCCTCCATGGAGATGTGACCCGAAAGGCAGGTCACAGAGTTCCCCAGAGGACTGCGGGCTTTTTAGCAGCAGCAGCAGTTTATCATAGTCAGTCCAGGCAAGCAAGAAGAAAAGCAGACAGGTGGAAAGGACAGATGAAGAACACTTGATAGATAAAACAAATCAAGACTGTTAGCAGATCAGAAAAGTGAATTAATCCATGCATTAAAAACTGTGCAGATAAACAGTGAGTTAGGAGGAATGGTGGTGTTAGACAGGAAAACAAACAGTGGTTTCAACTCTGTTTTACTTAAAGATCTACTTTATCCTCAAAAGGGCTATAACCAATTAATGTTTATCACTGATGGTCCTTATCTTTACTATGATCCAGTTAACAGACATGCTTTAACATGAAGTGGGAGCCTTTCCTTTTGATCATAAAATGTTTCTTAAATCTGATAAGAGGTAATAAATAACTTCATTTTCCACTGGCTCATGGCTGGTCACAGATTAATTAGGTTGTCAACATCTAGTTACTCAATGTTTACAATTAAAGCACATGTCCATAAAACCAGTAGGGTCTGTGCAATGAAGGCAGAGAATATTTCCTGAGTTAAGAGGAAAAAAGGTATCTGTGATAGATGGTAATAGATGCAATAATTTTACCTACTAAAGAAACAATGTAGCTTTTAGCTACTAAGAGAAAAAGACCTATTATTTCCAGGTTTAGCGCCTCTGAAAATAATTGCCAACACTATACTGCAGAAAAATAAAAAATTCTACCTCATGGAATCTGATAGCAGATGACTTTGAACCAGCAAAAAAAATTATTTAATCCATCTCACATTAAGAAAATAATTCTAAATCTGCACAGTGTTGCTTTAAATCAATAGTACACAGAAGCATATATTGAAAATTCAATATATTCGTCCTTGAATTACTTAAGTAAATTATATAATATTTTAGGATTGGCCCCCTTTAAAATGAAACAAATTAGTCATGTTTTATTTGGGGTTTCTTCCTGCAGATTAATAAAATCTTGCATCACTTCTGCTCATTGCTGTTAGATATTATTGCAGTGAAAGCAAAGGCATTGATGCATCAAAACTCTTTTGTAAAGCTTAACATGCTGTTAGACAGGTGATAAAAACAATGTCAATTGAACATGTTTGGTGAATTTAATCTCAGAAAAAGTGTCTGCCCCCTTTTAGTTTTCTTCTATTTTGCTTTATATTTTAATCAAATGTTTGCATCATCAAACACCTTTTAATTCCAGAGGAAAATAATCCAGCTAAATACAAAATGCTGCTCAGCAAGTTTATTAGATAATTTTAAAAAGGAAAAGAGCTATCTAAGCCAATTTGGGTTTAAGAGAAATAACATACCAGGTAACAATGGCCTTATGGTCCCTTCTTATACTCAATATAAGCCATTTACACCTTTTTCAAGGAATTCTGGTTCCACATATGTTGCAGAATTGCTAAATTGCATGGTTTATAACCATGAACAGCCTCTTAGGGGTCAAGCCACAGCAGCTGTATCAAGTTTACGAACAGATTTTGACTAAACCTCTGCTAATCCTTCGCCACCTCCACCAAGGAGGTTATGCTTTTAGGAGAGTTTGAAAAGTTATGGACAGATTTTAATACAAATTTTTATCAGAGGTGTCCCTCATGCTAAGAAACAATCCATCGGATTTTTGTGATGATCCGGATCAACTGCAAGTTTTACCTATAGGGGTAATTTGGGATATAATTTGCTCCTCAGCAGAGGTCTGCAACCTTGGAAGGCTTTTCTATTAATTTTTTTAGTGATCAAGTTCTGGACGTACATTTTGATTATTTTCCTACTTTGTCCTGTTGTTCTGCTACATTAAGCTAAAGACAATAAAATAATGGCTGGAAATTCTTCTGGACATTCAGGATATATTCTGCAGATCTCATTAATTTCATCAAGTAGCAAAAAAGTCCCACACTATCACACTGCTACTACCATGTTTTACAATTGATATATTGTTCTTTTTCTGAAATGTGTGGAACAGGATATGTAACAAAAAAACAATCAGAAAAATTCCCCATCTGTCCAGTCAGTCCATTGAATATCACAGAACTGATTGTATTTCCAGTGTGTTAGATGTTAATAACTTTGACTCATATCAGATTTTGCCATGTTGGGATATTTTTTTTTTGCTATCTTTCAGCCTATTTCTGTAGTTAGTGAGGGTATTTTTTGTTGATTACCGGATTCTACAGGCCAAGCTGTTTGTTTGTTTTTTAAAGAAAACTGTGTTTGGGTTTATATAGGTTATCTTGATCTGATATTTAAATGAGTTTGAATATCTAAAAAGAAAAGTATAAGGGAGCAGGACTTGATGTTCTTTAAACATTGCCCTACATTGGTCTTTAGAGTTAGTTGATTCAAAATGCAACATAAAGTGACAAAGTGTTTGAAAGAGTAAATAATGTTTTCCTGTATTGTCTGGATCAATGTTTCAGCCAAATTTGTTTCTTCACAGCAGCGAATAAGCACAAAGAACTGCTGCTTGCAATTCAGCCCTCAAAACTCACTGTACTTGCAACTCAAATATGGATTTTACAGGTCGGATCATGACTTTCCTTTTTTTGATTTTCTCGATTAAAAAGTTGAAAAGACTGCACCAAACTGGCACCATTGTTACCGTTGTCCTGGTTGGAAAACAGCCTACTTGCACTGGAGACCGTTTTCCCAATGTCAGCCAGGGAGCGGAGGTTGGACTTCTTAGTCTGGTGGCGGTGTTTCCGTAGCAACGTGTACATCACCTTGTCCTTAAGGTCTGCTTTCAGCTGGCCGATCTCTATCTGGTTGTCAGTGATCATCTCTGTAAGGAAACAATTGTTGCATCATGTCTAAAGTTATATTTTGTTGAGATAAGTTAACAGAAAACGTTCTTATTGTTTAATTTTGGAGGGGTAGTGAAATCGTCAATCTATGCGTAAGCATTGCCATCAGCACTCAAAACAGACAATTACCTGAAAGGTACTCATAGGTTACTTATTGTGTAAAAACAAACATATCTACAAGAATACTTTCGGTTTCCACATGGTATCAATGGAAATACCTTAAAACCTGATGACTTTCTTATATATATATATATATATATATATATATATATATATATATATATACACACTAATACTAAAATACTATACTACTACTAAAATATTAGTATATTTACATTGCATGTACAGAGATAATTCTGCATAAGGTTACCTTTTCATCTTTTCATTTATATAATCAAACACTGTTAGAAATGTTGGATGTTTAAAAAAAAAAGATAAGTTGAATGTCTTTATCATTTTATGACAATGAATATACAAATCACTATTCTTTATTCATTATTAACTCTGAATATAGTTACACAGCCCAACTGATATAAATATTTCAACTGGAGAAAACAAAAGGATTTTCATTTTGACAAAAAAAAAAATTTTGTCCTTTAACATAAAATTGAAATTCAAGATTAACATTTTATAAACTTTTTTAACACTACTAATGAATAGGATGAAGTACTCCACATACATCCTTATGTTACTCCTTAAGTACCATATGGGTACTCAATAACTATGCTAGTAGACAATCCAGAGGTATCTACTAGGTAAAAGTAGCACTATACAATATATCTACCCCTATAGATACTCAATATGTACCCTATCAGTTAACCATAGCTATGCTCCATAGGTACTCAACAAGAATGGTGTTAGTACTCCTTTCTGTTAAGCTTTCTGTTAGTAACTCTGTAAGCACACTGTGAAGCCATTATTGCCTTTTTTTCCACCAGCAGAACCCTCTTTCTTGAACCAGTTTGGGGCCCATGAACATGGGTGCTTGGTTACAACAGCTGTTGTCGACCAATTGTAGAACTGAGTCCTTCATCATCACCAGTGGGTGCTACAGAACGCAGAAGCAATGCCAGCTGGTGTGATCCAGACGTGTTTATCAATCCACCAGAGAAAAAGAAGAGGAACAGGAAGCCCACCAGAATAACATGAGAATAGAATAGCTCGATGGTGGACTTTGTTGCTCTGCATGGTATTTCTGTTTGCAGCTCTATATACTTCTATGCTTTAAAGGTGCATCAAAGCTCTCCAGGCCAGGCAGTAAAGTAAATAATGATGCTGTCAAACGGACAGACAGCTACCTGTACTATGAATGGTAGGTGCAGAAACCAAGGTTGACTTGATCCTGACCAGATGCTAATGTAACCCAAATGTGAAGACTTATTAATATGATTGCTCTGTTAATCATGTGAAGGAGACCTGATGAAGTTTGGATTTATCCACACTGGCAGCTGGCTATTCAGCAGTGTCAGATGCGAACCGGAGAACCCGCTCTGGTCAAAACAGGAGCAACCATTCGAAAATACAGTATGGGCTCCAAGCCGCTTTGATAGAAAAGCCCTATATAGGTTACTTGTAGATTGTTCCCTAGAGGCATACCAAGTACTCTTCAACTACTAACACAGGTATCTATGTAAGTTTCCATAGCTATGCAAGTACCTTGTCTGCAAGCTGTACCCTTTAAGTACCACAATAAATTTACTTATCTTGTGATAGATATCTCCAAATTAAGTAATATTTTTCAGACTTTCATGATGTATTATGTTCCTTAGTTTTTTCTGTTGATTTTGAGGGGCATAAAACAAAAGTGATTTTAATATATCCCCTGAAATGTAATTTCCCGCAAAATGACTGTTTAAATTACCGTTATCTGTTGTTGATATAGCCAAAGGCTTAATTAGTAACTCTATCAGTGTTATTTCGCCAATTAAGAGACCCCTTGAATGGTTCCAAGCCAAAGGTCTGATTTATAAAAAGTCAAAAGCCTGAATGCTGAAAGAGACCAGCCTCGGGGAAATTTTCTTCCTGTGGACGGGTAGTGCAGCTAATGACCCATCAGTGAATCCACTGAAAAGCGAAGAGACCTGGTTCCTCTTGGCTTGCAAAGTCTGAGGCAGGCAATTACGTCACATTAATCAGTCCTAGAAGGACCTCTTCCCCCTGTGCCTTCATCCAGACTGAAATGAAAAGCTGGTGGTACTACCCTGGTAGGCACAGACAAAATCATCTTAATGCAACTGGAAACCAAGCACTGCTCTTTAATTAGGGAAGTTTCTGTTTGACCATTTGGGAACTACTTTATGAGACGAGAGTTGGAATACAAAGTTCATGACCTCAGTGCAAGCATCCAGCGAATCATTAAACAAAAGAACCGCAAAAGACACCTCAGAGTTGTGTGATGTTCATTAACTCAGGAACTGGATCCTTATAACCCACTGCAGGCACATAAGATATCAGAGAGAATCAAGCAGATAGATATGGGCCTTTTCTCAATTCACTAGAACACAAGTATGTCAAGTATGTTCTTGAGAAGAACACAGGACATTCTGGACTCGAGGAGAATGGGAGCACGCAGCATAAGTATGGATCAATCGGAACAGAAGCGTACCCGTGACGTGGTGACGTCACGAGTACGCTCTAAACGAGAGGGCATGTGACGTCTCTATACAATAATAAATTATTACTTTTTTCATTTAGTGGGGGAATAATAATTAACACAGTCAGATAAACAAAAATCAAATGAACATTTTGCCAAATAAAACAAAAAAATCACCATGAGAGCCAGCGGTACTTCACACATGGCTACGCTGAGAGAGGGCTGCTGCAGACGGGCTGCGGTTAGCCCTGGCTGCCGTTACCCTCGGAGCTCCGCTGGTTGCCGCGGTCCTCTCAACTTCGGCAAAAAAATTTTTTAATTATGCATTAAATCGGTAAATGGACTATATAATGACACTTTAAAGTATAATATTCTTGCCTCAAATGATTTTAAAACATACTTTTATTGATAAACAGCTACAGAACAGAGAACTTTTAACTTTCAATGTAGCGCTCCATTGAAAGCTGCTGCTGCTGCTGTGCATGCTGGGACAGCTGTCAATCTCAAAAATGGACAAGTCTGCTTTGATGTATACTCAATAAAGAGGAAGGGGCGAGAACAACATCCGGGGACTTTGTCTGTTCTCTGTCTGCTGTTTTTGCAAATTGGAACAGTACTAGGGCTGAGGTTGATGATGTGTCATGAGTACACGAGCACATAAGAACCCACAAGTACACATATGCATGGTCTCATTTCCCAGTCAGGAACATGCTGACCTTTATCAGCCTTTACAGTGCAGCTTCAGGAAAGAGGGATATAAGAGGGACAATAGCTGGGGAACAAAGACAGAAAGCAGTTGTTTTACTTACCTACTCAGAAATGTCTGGTTTGAAAATTTCAAACAACTTTTGGCGTCTGCAGCATCTGTATTCTAACTGTTGTGAAGATTTTATCCTATCTTCAGATTTAAAATATATTTTGATATGCTGATCCATGTGTTTTCATCCTTTGCAAATCTTGTGTTCTTGTTTTTGAAATACTAGAGTTGTGAATGAACCCCAAAGGTACCCTATAAATACCCTGTTTCCACCTTTATGGACTTTGTGGGTGTCATGCAAGTTCATACTTACCGCTATTGATATATAACTTGTAATAAGCAAATAATTATTCCACAGTTAGCTATTCAGACAGATGCTGCTCTAAGTTGTATGGAAAACACCCATTAGATTATCCTGTAGGCACCCGCTTAATATCCCATTTCAGTTCCTTAATTTAAAGTAAAGTTTATTTGAAAAGCCTTTTTTATAAGCTGTTCACCAAATTCAACAAATCAACACGTAAAATTTAACAACTGGTAAAACTTAAAAGGGTGCAAAGTTAAAATTATAAGAACAAGAATTAAAAATTAAAGAAAAAATTTAATTAACGCTAAAGTCAGTAAAAACATAAGAAATATGTGGTTAAAAAATGTAATACAGGATTAGAAAAAAGCTCATTATAGAGTGTAGTTTCACATAGTTTAACACTAAAGGTTACAGCTGTAGTTACTCCCCTCAAATTATGTTGGCAACACATTTAACTTTGGAAATAAGAGTAGTTGCAGTTTTATAAAGAAAAATATTTTTTTCTACAGAGAGTTACACGATTCGAAGAATGACCAAATATGATAGTCCTACAAAATTGCTGTATTTGCATCATTACTGATTTAAACTAGATTAAATAGGTGAGATTTCTCTTACCAACAACCTGAGACAGAGTGGAAGCCTCCATGTCCAGCATGATTGTGCCTTTCTCTATGCATGTACGCAGCTCAAACAGGCTGTGTAAGGACAGGGTCGCCACATGGGGTTTACTCCAGCGCTCTCCCCCTTTTTCTACTTTTTCCTCAAACTTTATCCACCTGGGAGGAAGAACAAGGTCGGAAAAAGGGAATCAAATCAACTGGAAAAGCATGCATATCAAAATTGGTCAAGGTGAATTCCCACTGGATTGAAGTCATAATTAAAGATTTTTTTAAATGCAAGATGTGGATGGTAAATATACATGCCCTTTTAGATATTATCTGCACAGGTCATGGTGGAATGGGAGAGTTTAAAAAGGACTTCAAAGATGCAATAAACTTGAAAACATTTACTTCACTGCTAGGTTATCGAGATAGGAGAATAAAAAGGAAGAGAAATAACCTTAACTTCCATCATGAAGACAAAAGCTTGTTTTTTTTTTAAATCTACCTGGTTAAGTTGTGAACAAATACATCCTAGGTGTGATGAGTTTAGTTATTGCTGTCGGATAAATTCGAGGTAACTTTGCCAAAAATTTTAGAAATTTACATTATTTGTTTTTGTAAATCAGACAGTTTCGAAATAGATTTTGTGCCTCCATAAATAAACATTTATTCCAGCTTGCATATGATTATTACATGTATACTAAAAAATAAGGTTATTCATTTCTTTAAGTGGTATCTTGAATCTTTTCCCCTTTAGGACTTTTAGTTTTCATCATGTTCAAGTTTAAACCCAAATTGGAGCCATTAATCCACAGCTGTCAGACAGATCTATTGTTTGTTTGTTTTATTTTTTCATTGTCTGTGTTTCGATTCATCAGTGCTTTGGTTTTTAAATCTCTTTCTTTGCTCCCTTGTCCCTCTGATAGATGGCAGACTGAACTAGTTCAAAGGCTTTTATTTGGCCACTGGCTGCTAAACTTGCTCTTGGCAAGCAGATGGCACAATCAAACACTACTTTGAGCTCTTATTGGTTGGACATCTTTGGTCTACATTGCAACATATATTTGTTTCTTTATGTGTTTGTAGAATACTAAGTTTTTATTGTATGATGCTTGAACTACTCAGTATATAAAGCAGTTTAAATCACATTAATGTAATTTTTATATACCAAGTTATCAATCTTTTTATCTCATTAACAGTATAAGTTAACCCAGTTTACCATAAAACAGTCAAAATCTATAAATTTTTACTTTTTAGTAGTTTTATTAGCATATACTTGATAATTGATTTATAACTGTACCATTTCTGCTTTAAATTCAATAATCGAATTTTAATTCCTTGAAATGTGACATAAAATTATTTATAATAAAAAGGGTTTTCTACATTACTTGATGTAATCCTTTAACATCCTCAGCGGGATAAAGTGCAAATTAAAAATGGAAAACCTAAGTTAAAGTGTGACTAGAATTACCCTCCCTCCCCCACACACCCCTGGGAAAAGCGTTGTTTCCTTTATGGGGATTTTAATAGCACAGTTGGATTCGGTTCATTTCAATTCTGTTGGTCTCTGTTGTTTAAATTCCCAACAAATCTATCCTTTTTTTAAAATCAAATTTAGTTTCAATAACTCTGGAGCAATTTGTCTTGCTTGGCAAGTATGCGGGAAAAGTGTAAAGAAAGAAAAACCTTCAAACAGATCATTAAACAGGAATAAAACCCCTGAGGAACCGAGGCAAATAGGTGCAACGATCTGGTGTAATTGATGGAGTTGAGAAAACAGGAGACAGACCAAAAACCCATTAAAAAAAAATTACGTCCATGGGTTTATTTTTAAACTTACTTCATATTTTCTGGTTGAAGTCAGATGTATGTAGCATTTTCCACCAATTTTTTTAGCTGCATTTTTCAGTTATAAGTCCCTCATTATGTCATTATGTAATATTATATAATGTTTTTAATATGACAAGTTAGCAATGATTAGGTTTTTAGAATAATCAAATTTTGAAAAGTACAAAAAGGATTCATTGATAATAACTAGAGCACATAATTTACAATAAAGTTATTTTTAATCACTCAGCTACAGGGAATGTGAAACGTTTATCCAGAGGGCACTTGGTCAGAGGTTAGAATAATAAATGGACTAATTTGGTTCCTCAAACAGCAACCCAAGGATCCTGTTTCCCCCTGAGATAGCTTCACCCATCCAGTGCTAATGATGCATGAACAATTATCCAATCTATGTTTTATGACAAAAATCCAACAAGCCACAAAAAGAATGACATGTTCTTTATTTTATGTCAAACGTGTTTATGACATCATCTAAAGGGTGACCTTTGACCATCTAAATGTCAACTCAGTAGAGACAGATTCTAGACTTTGAAAAGGATCCCTAACACTGGGACAGATGTTCTTACCTGGCTGTCTCCTTCCACTCCATCTCTTGTCCATCAACCGACAGCAGCTCATCCAGCTCAGTGAAGAGCTGTGGGGGAGCCGGGCCATCATCATCCTCTAATATGTAACGGATCCTCTCAGCTGCCGGCGAGACTGCAGAAGACAGAAAAATACTGCGGTTCACAGGCTGGCACTGATTGCTGCTGGGCAGGGGTTTGGATGCAGGCTTCTCGTCCTCAGCTGGACTCTTTCCGTTGACCTCAGGAGGAGCTGGAAGAGGAGGAATTTTATCTTCCTCCACATCCTCTTCCTTTTCCTCTTTCTCTTCTTGATTATTGTTTTTGGACATCTTTAATATTTCAGTGACCCCCCTGTTTGCTCTGTGAGTCAGCTGATCACAGAGTGGTCTGAGAGTGACACAAGCCCATCCGACTTCCACCACAGCAGCTAGAGCCTCATTAAAGCCCCTGGTGGAAGTGACAGTCGATCTCAGGCGCCTGCCCCTGCACTTTGTAGAACAGGTAGGAGGGGGACGATGGAGTTTAGGGGTCCCCTCAGTGACAGTGTCCCCACAGTCAGCCACTCTCCCTCGACGCCTCCCCTTCGCTGTTCAAACAGGCCTTCACTATTGGTCCTGCTGTCTTGGCAAGCGGCCGTGAAACTCCTCATTAACGAATAGGAAATGCTTCACAAACTGGCCTATTCTCTAGCTGTGGCCTGCCTTCGGCCCCCTTTGTCTTTTCATTTGAATATTAAGAGTGTTACATAACACAAAGCCAAACACAGTTTCGACAGGATTTATATGCTTTTCAGTGCTTTTCAATGGATAAAAATAAACAACATGATCCAGCATACTTTCAACAAGTGCAAACTGAAATGAAAGTTTTAATGATGGACCACCAACAGCGTTTACATAAAAGCTCACTCAGGGATGGATGAAACTGTACATTCAGTTCCAGTCAGAAGCTTGCATGGTAACCATGGGAATAATCTGTAGTTAATGTTTTATTATAACATTTCTTCTTATAGGCTGGAATTAAAATACTATATATAAGTATATAATATACAAGCATTTGTTAAACCTAAGAATTGAGTGCAGAAGTAAAAATGTACGGTTATAAATTATACTAATTACGAAAAACTAAACGAATTACAGCTCTGTAAAAAAAAAAAATACAACTGCAAAGATTTTTTTTTCTTATTCTACCTTATAAGAAATTATTTAGATGATAGGGTTGCAAGTTCAGTAGAACTTTAATGTTCTGGGTTGAAGGTTCTCCTCTTGCATGTGCCGTATCTCTCAGGGTACTCCACAAGTCAAAAATTATGACTGTTAGGTTAACCGACTTCTCTAAATTGCCCTTGAAAATTAGTGTGTGAATGTTTTTCTAATTCTGTATGTCTTATTGTTTCCCTAGACAACACAGCACTCAGTGCCCTGTGTAACCCTACAAGCTCAAATGGATATGGGCAATAGATGATAAGGTGATCATATAAACCTTGCAAATGTATGGCAATTCATGCTAATTAAAACTTATTTCTGAATTAAAATGTGGGCTGCTCTCCAAAATATTGTCTTCTAAACTCTTCTTGAGCTTAAACAGCACTGTTGTTTTTTTATTTTTCTATGAAAATGTTCTTGAACTCTCTATATTACAATATAATATATTACATAAATATTATAAATGTATATTGGAAAATAGCGAGAGGAGCCAAAGAAGTACATTTTACTAAAAAAGGTATATACAAATATCAAAACCAGGAACACGTTTTTTCAGAGATCTCTATTTCTGTGTGTAAATCGCAAAAGATAATAATTTTTAAAAAGCTTTTTTCCATCAAATCATAAAAATCTACAACAAAGCTATAAAAATAGTTTAAAAATATACATTAAATAAAAGGATTCTGAGCAAAACTAAAAAATTCTATAATTGTAAAAAAAAAATCTGACCTTAAATGGTCTCAACCACAGAAACAAGAGAAGAGAGAGCAATACAGATGCCTGTGGAGCCCCATATAGGAAAATGCTGTTAAGGGACAGAGTTTGGTTTATTTACCAGAGCAGATATCGACCACTGAAGCAATCACCTGTAGTGGTGGGCTGTGAGGGCCTTCAAGGCCTTCACTGCTGGCCTAAAAACAATCAGAAACACTAACCTGAATTCATGACCTAAACTTTAAGTTTTTTCTTTCCAGGTGTATTAATTTATTCCAAACAATCCATTCCATTGATTTTGTAGCGTTTCTTTTGGCTGCACTGCTTCCATTATATGGTCTCTATATTTTTTTGTCAGATCAGATTTCAGCCTCTGTGTGTTGCTGTGTCAATCAAATCTGCCCAGGGCCTTCAGAATAACAATACTAGTGAGGAACGTTTTTTCAACCAATCCAATTTCAGATTTCCAAACAGGGCCAGCTAGAGTGCCCATCCCTATGTCGGCATTTTCTGTCCTCTGATTGGTCAGTTAGAGCAAAATGCTTCCAACATAGTTAAGCTACCATGCAAGTTAACAATCTGCATTTTAGATTCGCTTTGGTTAAAAGTTTTCTGACCTCAATGGGTGATAATAAATGGAGATACTAAGACTTCCTGCACAAAGACAGAAGGATATATTGGTTTATGAATAATCAGCATCTCTGGTGAGTGTAATATATTTTATTTATATGCTTTATGCACTATTTTATCTGCCAATTCACTGCTGATGATGTAAATGTGGCGTAGCTATGGTTATAGAGTAAAGGATTATGTTGTCTTAACTGGGCTTCTTGCTTAATTGATCTCTGTATTCTCCCTCACACGGATCTTCCTCTCTGTTATACCTCTGCTTGTTACATTACATATTTGAATAATATTGGGAGTTTCTGTTTTTAAATGAAAAAGTGGTGATAGTAACCCCTTGACACACATTGTTGCAAATTGATGCTCAAATATAACGTTCACATGCGATAAAGCAAAACAACAAACATCAGGGATAAAAAAAAAATGTTTTGGTAAATACCAGGTTCTACAACTACTTAGACCCAGCAAAAATAAATAAATATCATTACTTTATAGAAAATAAAGCAAATATAAATTACTTTTTTGCTACTAGGATTTAAGAGAAAAAATAGCAGATAGGGGCTTGGAATTAGATGCACTCTATTATTGATCATCACCAGGGTGCTCACCTTTATAAAAGCATGAGTTTGGGCATTTTGCTGCACTGGAGCGAAGAGGAGTGTGTTAAAATTAACTCATATTAGCAAGGATCTTTAAGGAGCTATTTTGGTGTCCATCATAGTGGGAATGGTTTTACACCAAGTCCCAGCCAATTCACCTCAAGTTCTTCTGGATTAAAGCTCAAACTGCCAAAGAGTGCCAAAGGTGCACTTCTTCCACAAAATTATATGACCGCGTCTGACTGAACCCCACAATAAATAGGAAAAAAAATCCCTGTTTTGACATATAAGACAAAATGTAAGGTGTTGTTACAGAGCATTATGTCTGGAGAAAACATAAAACCCATCAGTGAAAACACATTACAAGCCAAGTCAAGCACAGTGGTAAATGGATAAATTTTTTGGCTTGTTTTGCACCGATATGACCTAAATGTGACATTTCTTTGACATGACATAAGCCAGATTGATCCATCTATTTCAATTTTGAATTCTACACAGTATCCATCTGGAAAGCCTCCAGTGTAAAGTGTTTGCAAAAGGTAGAGACTTTCAGTACAATTATGTTATTATTATTATACGTTATAGCCAATCGCAGCAGCAGAAAAGGCTGTGGCATTCTTGATTTGTTTCACAACCTTACATCATTCTGTGTCATTCTATCTCTATTTTGCCACTCTGCAGAATTGGTTAGTTCAATCTGTAACGCTCTGCTCTCTCTGCTTTTTCTCATAGTAGCTTCATCTGGTCTGTTCCTGTTTCACTGTGACACCATCCTGGAGAGAAATATCAGCTGTGCTTCTGCCATCAACAACTTTGTCTATAGCTGTTGGAGCTTGGCCTGTTTTTCAATGTAGTCCTGTGTCTCTGACTATGACTGGTTGGATGTGCTTTCTTCATCCTCTGACATGGGAGCTGGCTGTGTGTTTACTGGACGGGGCCGTCTGTGGAGCTGGTTGGCAGTTTCCTTTTGTATCTCTGGTTCTTTCTGTATCTCTGCTTCTGTCTCCTTGAACCCCAGTCGGCCTCAGCAGAAGGCCGCTCACACTGAGCCTGGTTCTGCTGTAGGTTTCTTCCTGTTAAAAGGGAGTTTTTCCTCTCCACTGTCGCTGCAGGCATGCTTAGTGTGATGGATTGCTTTTGAGTCAATGAGTCGATGCAATCAACTGGTTTTGCTTACATAGAAAACTTTTTAAATCAGTTTGACTGTATGATCTGGCTGAATTGTAAAGTGCCTTGAGATGACATGTGTTGTGAATTGGTGCTACATAAATAAACTGAATTTAATTGAATTAAATTGAAATTGAACTGAATCAGCAGAAACAAGCGATAAATCAAATTCTTGCCAAGTCCGGTTGGGAGGAAGGTGCAAATATCTTTTTCATCCATAAAGGCACAAAATAAGTCCAGGATATTCCAGCTAAAACTGGTGCAGCCTGAATTTTCTGCTTCAGCCTCCTGCATCTGGTGACATCATACACATCACTGCATTTCATTGGATAGAAACGTCCCTGTATTCAAGGCTAATGCATCTATTGTTTGTATAGTTTGTAAATTCACAAATATCAGAAAATTTTTTCTTGCTTGCAAGGTAAATATTTCCAATAAGTGTCTCTGAAAACTAACGTTTTTCAAAAAGTCACATACTTTGACGTCACGTGGGAGAATCAAATAGTCTCTGCAACTTCAGCTCTGTGGGGAGAGTAGGGAGTTATTGGGCAGAACAGAGATTGCGTTTATTGATCCTAAACATGTGTTCCGGGGGGCTGCACAAATTCTGCTTAATGATGCTGAATTGAATGACATGTTTCCTCAGAGGTACTGAGCGTGTTACAGTCCTGATGCAAATCTTACAGGAGCAGAGAGGACAGCAAACAGGAGATCCCTTGATGGTAAATGGCTCATTAGGATCAATATAAATGCTGGAGAAAGTTTAAATAAAGGATAGAGAACCAGATCTATTCCCTCTGGCAGTGCACCACTTTTGTGAACAAAAA